GTACGTGTGTACGTGTGTATGTGTGTGTATGTGTGTATTTGTGTACGTGTATATGTGTGTATGTGTGTGTGCGCGTGTATGTGTGCGTGTGTACGTGTGTGTGTGTATGTTTGTATGTATGCATGCAGGCATGCATGCAATCATGTGTGTTAAATATATATATATATATATATTATGCGTCCCCCGTTTCCTTGGTGTTGAAGAAACACCCAGAGGAAACTATACATATATGGTCCCGGGCTCCGGGTTCCAAGTCCCCCCCCCCCCCCCAATGCTATCCCCCTCCCCCCCAGAACCCGACCCTCCCCACACCCCGGCCCCTTCACCCCCTGAACCCACACCTCGGCACGCCCTGCGCCCAAACTAACCCTAAACCAACCCTAAACTAGCTCGGAACACACAGATTTTTCAACTAACGCTTGACACGTTCTGAACAAACTCTAAACCAAGGCGGAACCGACTTAATCAACCCTAAACCAACCGCAAACCAACCTTAGATTGAACCAACCCCTAAGCACATATCTTAAACCAACACTAAACACACTCTAAACCACCTCGAAACTAACCTAACCCACCCCAGCACCAAGCATAAAGAACACACATCCTAAACCAACACTAAATACACTCTAAACCAACCATAAACCAACCTTAAACTAACCCTAAACACATATTTTAAACCAACACTAAACACACTCTCAACCAACCCTAAACCATCCTAAACCACTACAACTAGATCAACCCTGAACCAAGTCTAAACCACTGCAACCCCACCGAAGGGAGGGGCGGTCTTGGACCAACCATAAACCAACCCTAAACAACACCCCAACCACACCACTGGGGGGGGGAGGACTGGGAGCCATGGAGGGGGAGGGGCGGACTTGCGAACCCTTGACCATATATGTATAGTTTATCCAAAGGGCCTGTTCAACAAGCCACTAAAGCGAAGGATTTGCCAGCAACAGCCTTTTGCAGCCAATTTCATTTGCTGGTGTTTTTCCTGTAGTTTTTTAGGGACAATTGCAAAAACAACCGGAAAACTACTGAACAGCCTGTAAGTTCACCAACATTGCTACTGTGGGTGGACGAAATCCTGCACCACTTAAATCAACGAGTTAAACAAGGTCGTAGAAGGACCCCCCGCTCCCCATATTCAATGTTGCTTTGATGGGCTGTAAAGGTGGTGCAGGATTTCGTCCATTCAACTTCTTTTCCTTCAACGTGTTTTCAGCTCCCAATATTAAAAAGGGAGCGCGAGGGCGTGCAACCCAATGCTGAGATGGTGGTGCAGGATTCTGTTCATCCACCGTATTCGAGGCCACTTGAGTGATTGTACGCGCCTCGTGCTTTTCACGCGAGACAACTTTGAATATGAATTCTAAACGGGCGGCAGGCCTTACAATTCCCTTCTTTGCTCTACTTCTCCTTTGGTAGGGAAGACTCGGAAGTGTTGGTAAGTAAAACTGGGGGACCCCGCATTCCACATGCGGTTTCACGGTTCCGCGACGTTGCAATGAGTCCAAAATCTGAAACAAGGAACCCCCCAGCAAAGGACCCTCCTTAGGGGCAAGCTCGTTTTAGCAAGGACCGCACTACTTCTCCCTCAAGTCTACACAGCAACTCGGTCTTCCCGTGAGCTGCGACGTCGACCGTCCAAACAACCGCAGCAAGAAAGGGATCCTCTGTCAATCGACTTCACCATCCAACCCATTAAAGTTGTGCAGCAAACAACAAGAAATAAAGCCATAGATGCATGCAGCTTAAGTAGAGGAGTCCGGTTTGTTCCATAATTGCAATACTGTAGATGGACGAACTCCTGCACCACCTAAGAAACCCTGGAATGATTCCCGTGTAAATACCAACGAACAATATTAACAGCCCTATGAACTTCCTGGTTTCATTTTGTGGTGCGAACGGATTTCGAAACATCTCCGTTGCCTGAAAAACCAGCCACACGCTTACGAAGCTTCGATCGATTTCGCCTGCAGTCCAAAGCGTCAATGCAAAGCCCACCCCCGTCCAGCATGATGATCCAATTGTCGGGGCTCTGCTCGCCTCAGCTCAACGGCGACGAAAAGCTCAGAGCATTTGAAGCGACCTTTCTTGACTGGGCTGTCCTCAGATCCTCCGCTAAAAGCTTAACTTGTGGGTCAAATGGAAAGCCAACCAGTAAACACTAAGAAGCTAAAAGGCTAAGGAGCCGGATGGCTGGGAGCCACCAAGTTGAGGAAGGGCCCTTGGAACCAACCTGTGCTGAGGACCCCCAAAAAACAATGACGACCCTTAGAAAGAAACTGGGCGTCCAAGTTCCCAAAGTAAAGCCCATTCAACTGTTCGCCCAGGCCGAATGCGGTGTATCCACAATATACACAGGCCTCAAACAGGTACGTGTCAAAATAGGGGGGCCCAAAAAACTGCTTCGGTGTTCCTCGTGGCTTTCCTTGATACCAAAGGCACCCTCAAGATTGAGACACGCACCCGAGCAAACAACCAAGGTTGTCGGTATATCCTCAACATGAAGCGTTCCGCTAGTCCATTGGGGCACAACTTCAGGGTACACACGTTATCGGTACGTGACAAAGCCTCTAAGTAAGGGACCCCGCTTGACAAATGGCAAAGTGAACGCGAAGCAAACGTGATCCGAGCATTGGGGTTTAACAATTCCAAAAGGATCCCGGATCCATGTAAAGCACAAGGATGCCAACCCAGGAGAGTCCAAATCCAGGACGTCGCCAAACCCCCTTCGTGAAGATGCCATACTCGGATTTAAAGGGACTGACATTGTTTGGTTGTACACCAGGTTAAAAGTGGATGGCGCAATTCCCTTTTGTGGAAAGGAAACGGGGATGAACAAGCCAAAGTTGAGGAATTGTGTCATCTACCCTCAGCCCACTGTATATTACCCAGAAGGATTGCCTCCCCCACAATGACAATGACATTTTTGAGGTGTGTGCTTTTTGAGCATACCCCATTTTGGGGTTGGTTCAATGGAAAACACCCAGGAAACCAGCCATATGTGGGACCCGTTCCCTTTTTCTTAACACGAAACAGCCAGGTGAATGCTGGGCTGTCCTCAGATCCCCTTCTAAAAGTTTAACTTGTGGGTTAAATGGCAACCCCCACTTTTTAGCGAGTAAAACACATCTAAACACCTAAACAACCGGGGGGATTCGCTGGTGACCCAGGCAACCGACATTTCACCAACTGAAAACAAGAAAACACCTACTGAACAGGACGGCTGAACCGCCAAGAGCCAGGTATCGCCATCAATATCATACCAGAACAACCGAAAAATGGATGGCCAAAAAGTAGCTTCAAAAGGTCGACCAAGGATCGCCATCGAGATCCTACCTTTCACTTGGTTAAGACACCTGGAAAAAAACTATGTCCAGTAGTGATAATTCCTTTTACAAGCAGCAAGGGGGAAAAATAAAATAATAATAATAATAATACTAATAATAATAATAATAATAATAATAATAATAATAATAATAATAAACAATGTCAGCAAATGGAAGCTAACAACAAAAACCCAAAAAAAAAGGCCACACCGATGCTCACCCGCTTCGTCCCAGCTGCGGATGTAGTATCCCGCCGAGCTTGAGTCCAAACACTTGGAGCTGAAGCGGTCGGCCACTTGCTGCGGCAGCAGCACCTTCCTGCTCGAAGAGAAAACCCACGGCCTGGTGTTGCTTTTTCGGGCCACTGTTATTTACCCTCTGAAGCTCCGCAATTTGCTCAACACATCTATGGCTGCGTCTTTTTTCGAGCTGTTAACCGTTTCAGGCGAGTTGAAATGGACACCAACAGGAAACCACTCATTGTGAGAGCCTATCCTGACACATACTAATATACTGTAAGGGCTGAAAGGAGTGGAGTGGGGCCGTGGGGTGCTTGAACACCGCTCAAGTCGTGACCATCCAAAAGGTGGTGCAACGAAACCCATATATCATATCATATCATATCATATCATATAGGTTTACAACAATAAGTTCAATGGGCAACACGTGATCAACGGGTGGTACCCTTAGTTGCCTACCTTCCAGCAACATGGAATCCCATGTTCCTTCCAGGAATCCTTTCTTGCGGCTGAAAACACCACCAGAACCACGAGGAAACCGTCGGATCCAAACAAAAACAAGGCTTGCTCTACGCAGCGCGTCCCAAAAGGGGCCAGAGGCTTCAATGAAAGGCCCTGGGAAGCCTAATGACATCATGTCATGGGGGCTGGGGGGAGGGAGGGGAGGGGGAGGGGGCCCAAACAATCCCCAAACAAGGCCTTATTCAGGGCTTATTTAGGGACTGTTTGGGCTCCCTCCCCTCCCCTCCCCCCCAGCCCCCATGATCATGGACTGGGAACCAACTCCTAGACACTTGGCCATGGTTGTAGGAAACGTCAGCTGCACATGAACGCGGGAAACCCTGAACACATGCAACAATCGAAGAACAACATGGGGGCTCCATGTTCAAATGCAGCGCGTACGGACCAGCATCGATGTGGAAAGTCATAAGCACTTTCAACTTCTCATGACCACCTTGCCACTTCCAAGGGTGCCCCGCTGATTGCGACAGAATTGTTGAGATCAGTATGGGGCATCGACCCGCCCGATTAAAAGGAGCACCGAAATGGCTACCAACCCTTTTGTCCCCTTCCAGGTTGTATAGTGGGGTGTCTCTTTTTTAGAGTACCCTGTTTTGCACACCAAAATCCATGATCCCAATTCTGGGTCCCCTCAAATTCAGACACACCCATATATGGGTTTGTTCTTTTAGTGGTATCCCTTTTTGTGGTGGGTTCAAAGGAAACCGAAAGGACAACCATCATTTTGGGGGTGCTCCCCCCCAAAAAAAAGTCACACCTGTATGGCCATGGGTCAAAATCCAACTCGTACCCCCAGTGCACATCCCAATCCACTAAAATAGGACGCCTAACATGGGCGGTGAATTCCCCTATCCCAACCAAAATGGGATCCCGCTGAACGGTTTTGACCACACCCATCCACTGCCGGCGTCGTGGGGCCCGGGTCCCACCAATCCCCGGCCTCGGCGCCGCAGCTGCGGCCAAGTGCCATAGCCTGGGCCGGCGTCGTGCGGTGTGGTGTGCGCGTCCCGTGCGAAGCAGGTGAAAGGAGCCCGAAACGAGCTGGTCTGCTTCCATTTGCTTCTTCGCCCCCTGGGAAAATCAACATATGTTCTAGTAGTAACATAATCCCTCTAATTGCTTTTTCGCCCCCTGGACAAAAATATAAGCATGTTTTTCAGCAGTGATGGATTATCTTTGACATTAACCGGGGAAGAAACCATTGTTCATTTCAGCAAAATAGGGTTTCGGTCTGACTGGCTTCAAGAAATGCGCTCCGGACTGTTGAACCAAACCGAGTCCAGCTGCTCCGGCTGCGACTGGATCACCAGTTGCCGAAATGGATGTGAGGTGCATTCCAACACACCGGCGCGCCGCCAGTGGCCTGCGCCAGGCCATGTGAGAACCCTCTCACTTTGCTCTTTGGCCCGCAAGGCCTGCGCTTGGTGTAACACCCTGGCCGGCCAAGTTCTACACTCAATGGCCCACAGCTGGCAACATGAAGCAACTTTTGCAAGCACGCGAACTCCGCCCATTGCAAACTCAAAGACTCCCTGCCAGCTGCTCTTCGCCTGTTGAAAGTTCAGTCTGCAAATCCAAGCTTTCACTGCAGCTGCAACCACAAACCCGCGTAGGCCTTCATCTACCTGTTTTTTGTTGTGCCTCCCAACTGGGTTGTAACGAATGGGTTCCTTTCGGGTGCTTCATGCACGATTGTCCTTTGGAAGCGAACGGGACCTGCTTGCTAGAACCCGTTGAACGGCACCCCTGAACGCAAGGTCATCGTGCAGGACATTCCTTTTTCTCGCTGCCGGAACTTGCCAGGCCATGCTTCTCTGACACTGATAAGTAAGATTGAGCTGGGACTAATGCAAAAAATACGTGGAACCATGGAACAAACACTAATGCTGACCCAGGGCTTCTTATAACCCCTGGTTGATTCTGAATGATAACCCCCGACTTACCGTCCAAGTCTTGCTGATTCTCTGTAAAGAATGAGTGAATGAATCCTATCTGAACCATCCAACTGGTTCTGCCGGTTCAGTCCCAAATGGTACCTACAGAGAAGCAGCAAGCTACTTTAGCTTGGGACTTCCATGGCAAGTAAAATGCACCAGCGATGAATCCATAAATAATGGCTGTCAAATTGACCAGCCAGACCTCCAGACTTGCTGCAACACGCTCCTCGTTTTTCTTGCGTCTCGTCGTAATTCTGGGGGTTGATTCCCCATTCTGCTCAACCATCGTTCTTTTCAGTAACCAGCCGTTTCCCTGGGTTTCGGAAGGTTTTCTAGAAAAAAGGATTCCTGGAAAGAATGGACATGGAAGCTACCCCTAGAGCAATGGCGTCCCCTACCCCACGCGACGCAGTTCTGCTTACCTCACGTTGCCGCCGAGCGTCAGCAGCAGCCATCGGGCCATCTGGCTCTAAGCCCCTTCAAACGGGGCGCCAAACGGCCGTCGAGAAAGGTGGCCTACCTTCGGCCAAGAGCAGCCGACTGAAAAGCACACCTCCAGCAACTCAAAGAAAGCAAGCAAAACAAAAGCGAAAACCGTAGCTCTTGAAAAGGAATCACTCACTTGTGAAAACTTAATTGATCAGGAATACATGTGCATGAAGTGAGCCTTTGACCCATCGCCGAATGCGGATTTCGAGGTCATTCGGTCATTCGCTGGGGTTTCACGCTGCCACAGGCCACTTAGAGCCACCAGTCGGGCGTGCGGCATGCACCGGTGATATGGCTTTCAGGGATAGACCTCCCAGCATTCCACCCAAAAGCATGCTGCTAAAAATACAAGCAAGTATAATTGGGTTGGGTGTGTCTCTTTTGCGAGGGAACCCCGCCCTTTTGGTGATTTCAAGAGAAAATGTGGGGTCCCCTAAAAGAACACACCCAATTGGGTCAGTTCCCTACCGGTTTCCCACTACTTTTTGTTTAAAGTGCCCGACTTGAGTCTTGAAGCTTAACATATGGAAAACCCAAGAATCTTCGTACACCGTGACTTTCAAACTTGGGGTCTCACATAACATGTGTTGCTAGGGGAAAATGTCCAGGGGCGGAACAAACAAATATGGCAGCCAACAAGCATGGTTGTACAGTGATGTACAGTGGGCTTGAACATATGTTTTGACTCCTTAACCACGCACGGCACAAATCTTGTTCTGTAGGTGAGTGAGGGGGACGGCAACACCGAGTTTCAACCAGCTGAGTCATAATCAAAACCCGGTATTAAAATGGTCGACCCAGAACCATGTAAAGAATTAAGAAGGCGGCCGCAGCTATGTATGGTTGGGCCGCAGCTATTTTTGGCTGATCTACCCTGGTTTTGATTGTGGCTCAGCTGGATCTTCACCGTCCACAACACACACCATCCACGACACGTGCGGAGGTCGCACCAGGATCTTGATTGTGGTGGGTCCGCACCTTGCGACCGGCCGAATGGCAAATTGTTCGCCACACACGCAAACAAACATCTACCCATATCCAACCCACCAACCAACCAACCAACCAACCAAACAAAACAAACAAAACAAACAAAACAAACAAAACAAAGAAAGCCAAACAACCAACCAACCAACCAACCAACCAACCAACCAACCAACCAACCAACCAACCAACTAACCAACCAACCAACCAACCAAAACCAAAACCAAAACCAAAACCAAAACCAAAACCAAAACACACACACACACACACACACACACACACACGCAAGCAAGCAAACAAACAAACGGACCGACACACAGGCAGGCAGACAGACAGACAGACAGACAGACAGACAGACAGGCAGGCAGGCAGACAGGCAGACAGGCAGGCAGGCAGGCAGGCAGGCAGGCAGGCAGGCAGGCAGGCAAAAGAACAAACACATTAATTAACCAACAAAACAACCCAGCACAACAAGACACACACAAAAAAAAAAAAAACGCAGGCAAGAAAGCAAGCAAGCAAGCATGCAAGCGAGCAAGCAAGCAAGCAAGCAAGCAGGCAAGCGGGAAGCAAGCAAGCAAGCAGGCAAGCGGGAAGCAAGGCAAGCAAGCAAGCAAGCAGGCTCCTGCCATTGTTCGGGATTTTCAGTTGCTTCCAAAGCCCTGGTACAACTACTAGCAAACAACGTTGTTCTTTGCAGCCTCCCTCTCCAAATGGACAGAACAAAAGAAGCCAAACATTAGGTTGGTCACCCCTTTCCAGTGGTATGACGAGAAGCCGCCGAGAAGACTCGCTGAAATCTCCTCACCTCAACACACAAAGATCAAGACCACAAAGGGGGAGATATATATATATATATACACCCTGATACATATATATATATATATATATGTATATATATATATATGTATATATAAATATAGAGCTCCAGGGCTCACCCCATCCTCCCATTCCATTTTCGTGGCTGGGATGTGTTGGCAACCGGCAACGGGTTGTCGTCTCACGGAGCCGAGGCGCTCGTGGTGTTGCTGCACCTGTCCCAGCCACTGCTCCACGTGGTCGAAGCTGGCCTCAAGGCGCCAAGGCGCCAAGGCGCCGCCGAGGCTCGCGCGGCGAAGAGAACGTGGCGGTTGGTCATTTCCGAGAAACTACTTGGCTCCCAGCCATCCGGTTCCTTAGCTTCTTAGCTTTTGAGATGCTTTAGTGGGGGTTTCCATTTAAGCCACTGAACGTTGGGCACTTCTAGCAGGGGATCTGAGGTCGGCCTAGAACTAGAAAGGTGGCCGTTTGGTGTGTCAGCCCGCATCAAAGTTGAAAATACGTGTCAGCCCACATCTCACTTTGTGGATGGCCCGGAAAAAATAAAAAATCTGGGAACTTTTTGTTTGCCACAAAAATGGTCCAACCCCAAGAAGTGACGAAAGTCCATGAAATCAGGAAGTGAGACATGCAGAAATGTAACAAGGTAGCTGGCACGGGCCAAATGTGCTATCCTCAGCACCCCCCCCCCCTCTCAGTATGGCGCCTTGCGGACGCCTCAACTCGGGTTGTATGCTCCGAGGTCTTTTTTCCCCAAGGATTCCCTATTGCGCACCCGCTGGCCGCGATTGATCAAAGCTCCAGTCCAGAGGATATATTTTGAGGGTCCCCGTTCCAGGTCCGAGGGACGCGAGGAAAGCGCGGATTTGTTGGGCGTTAGGTCCTCCAGTAGAGAGGTTAGAACAAGGGTGCCCTTTTTGCTGTAGTTCTTGTTAGTAGGGGAACCCTCCCCCAAAAAAGAAACGGTAAAAGGACACTACTGGGGGACCTAGAGCCAGTCGAATTCGGCTGGGTCTTAGGCTGAATTGCCACTTGCCACTATGTCACACGCGTTTGCCAGTCCAACGGTCCGCTTTCACTCCGCAGTTTTTGCCTCCACAAAGAAAGTGTCCCATCGTGTCAATGATTGGCTTTTTCTGGTTTCTAAAAGCACAGTTGGATCACCGTGTTGTAGCTATCCCCTTGGTGAGAATCTGCACGGGCGTCCAACAAGGGGTATACTTTAGGGCTTGCATACATGTCAACCAGGGATCTGTTTTGATCCCTGGGTTTCTCTGGGTTCAATTGTCAAGCTGCGAGGAGTGGCGCGGCCACGGCACGATTACTCAAACTGAAACATTCAATGATATACATAAGAAAAAGGACACTAGTACTACCTTTTCAATTTGGTAGCCTTCTCCCTACGACATCAGTAGCCACTTTCTCGGGTGTTTTTTTTATTGAAGGTGGTCCCGTGTCCCCCTTAAGGGGAATACGTAAGCAAAGCCAATGCCGACAAACAACACGGCCCCATTTCGAGGGTCCATCTTTCGAGCCAACCTCTGCCACGAGTCCCTCGAACCGAATCCCCTTTTTGCCGCACAGAGTCAGGTGCGTCGCATGCAAAGGTGAGCCACAAACAGTTCCCATGGCGCCCCCCTCTCGTAAACTGATGTGTTGACACAGCTCCGTTTTGAACATGACTGCAATGACAGGGTCATAGGCCGAAAATGCACTCACCATTTAAAGGGCCCCCCTTTCCGACGACATCAACCGCAACGTTTGATCCATCAAAAAAAACATTCAAAGGGCGCCCTTGATCTGCACATGCTACATCATTCTACAATATCAAAACTTGAACAAGGTTTGGATCGACAAGACAACGGACCTACCCTTCCTCGCACTAACATGGCACCTCACAAATGTTCCCTCCAAGAGGAAACTGCACGGGCACATCGTACGTTACTGTAATTTTGCAAATTCAGAACAAGACCCATCCTTGGATCAAAAAGAACAAGGACCTACTCCTTTTTTCCTCTAACATGGCAAAGGGTCCCTCCAAGAGGAAACCAGTCTTCCAGGTACCCTCCCACAGGTGCCATGGCAACAGGAAGAGTCCATGGCTTCAGCTCGTTTCAGGGGAAGTCGCCGGTTCGGC